TCCTAGACCCAGTGGCTTAAACTCATGCCAGGCGCATGTGCATGTGTGCCCAAGATCCCGAAAGGAGAATGGAGGAGAAGGGATTACGGCGTGGCCATCCCCCCTGGGGGTGGGTGATTTCTCGCTTTCTGTTTCTCTGTCTCTCTGTATCTTTCTGGCGAGCACATGCGCCCTATAGCAAAAACCTCTCCAAAAAAAAAAGAAGAAGAAAAACAAAAAGATGACATTTTAATTCTAATACTGGCAACCACCAATGTTGGCATTTTGAGGGGAATATATATAAATGCGGACTAGAAAGATACCTTTCTGATAAAAAAAATAAATTAAAACTAACGCTGAACTATGTCTAACATTTCAGTGAATAACATCCAGGTTATGGATTCTGGAGTGAGTCAATTAATGGGCCAGGGCTTAGAGTAACAAGGTATGCCAGATTCAGCTGCACCGCAGAGGTTGTGTTTGGGTGCGGGCCTTGATGGTCCAAGTGGATGAGTGAGTCAACCTTGAAGTGACCCAGTCAAAGAAAAGAAGATTCTGACCTGGCCGACTTTTCTGGGCCAATTAAGAATCAAAGCTCTCTAGAAATTCTGCCCTCAGGAATTCAAAGCGGATATCCTGAGCTCTTGGGCACAGTTGGGGCCTCGGGAAGCTTGGCCTTTAACTGAGTTCATCAACGGCCCCATGGGTGCTGAAGGTCCTGCATTCTGACCCCAATCTTCCCTTGAAAACTTGAAGAATTGCTCAGATCTGTCCTGGGCAGCAGCCAAAGTAGACATAAGGGAAGTGGCTGTGCCTTAGCAGCCAGATGCAATGGGAAAGAGGGAATCAAAGTTCAGTCATGGTCCAATCAGCAATTACAAGTTAAAGGACAGCACACGCCAGAAATGAGGCCAAGGCCCCGTGCCTGTCCACGAGTTGCGAGACTGCAGAGAGGGAGAAGAAACTGCCAGAAGCTCCCTGCCCTTGGAGAACAGGACCATAAACCTGGGTAAGAACAAGCCAGTGCATTTATACATGCTAGTCATGGCTGAGCCAGGCCCACCAAGATATTACCTTTAATCCCCAAGTCCATTTATTTGCTAATGGGGTTATGGGAAGGGGTAAGGGGAGATGACACACCACTCTATGAGAGTCTACGGGGGAGAAGTCCACTGCTACTAGACAGTCCTAGGATTGGCAGGGATTGGTCTCTGGTCTGGAGATGAGGGTGGAGAGCATGAACCAGGGCTGTGAATGACCTGCCATGAGGGGAACCCATTTGCAGTGCCTGCTCCTAGCACAGGAAGAAGTGCCACTTCCTGCTTTCTTTCTAAGTTACTAACTCCAGTAAAACCCTCAGACCTGAGCTTCCTCTCACGACCCCTGATCCTTGCACTCCAGTGCCATTAGCACTGGTACTGTTCTTGGTGGGAGTGTTTTGTCTTCCACAAGTTTGTATAACTGCAGGGCTTGAGGAGGTAGAAGGCAGGTAGTGAGCTGCTTCGGGCTGCACAGAAAGCATGTAAATGTGCACTGTGTGGCCGGCTGAATAACGGCCCCAAAATACCCACGTCCTAATACCTAGAGCCTTCCGTGGCAAAAGGGACTTAGCAGATGTGATTAAATTAAGGATCTCAGGATGGGGAGATTATCTCCACAGGCCCAAAGTGCTCACAAGGACCCTTATAGGAGGAACAAGGGTGAGAATTAGAGGAAAGAGATGGCAGCAATGACATAAGCAGAGCCCACGGTGATGTGGCTGCTGTCTCTAAGACAGAAGAGGTCCCCGAGCCAAGAATGTAGACAGCCTCTAGAAGTTGGAAAAGGCAAGGAACAAATTCTCCTTCAGAGCCTCCCAAAGAGCTAGCCCTGTGCAGACACCTTGACTTTTAGCCCTAAGGCTGATTCTGGGCTTCTGGCCTCCAGAACCATAGGACAATAAATGTTTTAGGCCCTTACAGCAGCAGGAAATGAATACACATGGCAAGAAATTTTGCCATCCAAGTTCCTTGACTCAGGTTTTTGCTAGAACTGCTTTCCCTAGGCAAGATGCAAATGGACCAAGTTCACTAAAGAGGTGCCATAGGAGGGCCACCTCAGTGTAATGCTGCCTATAAGTGAGAATACCTTACAATGACAACAATATGCTGATTAGGCAGAATCTGATGACATTTTAAGACATTATGGATAGGCCCCAAGGTTTGTAAAGGTCCATAAATCATTAGATTATATCAGTGTATAACTTCCCCGAGCCAAGAATGTAGACAGCCTCTAGAAGTTGGAAAAGGCAAGGAACAAATTCTCCTTCAGAGCCTCCCAAAGAGCTAGCCCTGTGCAGACACCTTGACTTTTAGCCCTAAGGCTGATTCTGGGCTTCTGGCCTCCAGAACCATAGGACAATAAATGTTTTAGGCCCTTACAGCAGCAGGAAATGAATACACATGGCAAGAAATTTTGCCATCCAAGTTCCTTGACTCAGGTTTTTGCTAGAACTGCTTTCCCTAGGCAAGATGCAAATGGACCAAGTTCACTAAAGAGGTGCCATAGGAGGGCCACCTCAGTGTAATGCTGCCTATAAGTGAGAATACCTTACAATGACAACAATATGCTGATTAGGCAGAATCTGATGACATTTTAAGACATTATGGATAGGCCCCAAGGTTTGTAAAGGTCCATAAATCATTAGATTATATCAGTGTATAACTTCCGTCCTTTTTTCAAAAGAGTGTACTCATTCTACAAGCATAGAACTTCTTAGTCTTCCATGTGTATGGGTTCAACTTCACTTTTCTTCTACAGAAAAATGATGGAAAGATTTATACGAGACCTGAATAAACCTACTGTTTTAACCATTTAAAAATCCACCAGATCTTGACATGGTCAGATTTCCAACCTGGCATGAAAATATAAATCTCGGGACTTACCGGTCTTTCTGACTGGTACATGTGAACAAATCAATCAGATATAGCAATTTTCTATGTACAAGGACTGGGCACGGGGTATGGAAACTCTTGCTCTGATTTCTATGATGAAGGTCAAAGGGAATTCTAGTAAGGTGCCTCTTGAAGAGGGAAATGAGCAATTTGTCCCCATGGGACCTGCCACATGGATGTCAATACAACAGAACAGCAATTCACACTCTTGCATATCACCATCACCCAGAGGCTGGTTAAACCCAATACAACAGTGGTTCTCACACTGTCTCCTACATCAGCGACACTTGGGGGGCTTATGAACCCAACAGAACAGGGTCCTCATACTCTCTCCTGCATTACCATCACCTGGGGGGTTGTTAAACCCAATAGAACAGAGTCCTCACATGCTCTCCTGCTTCACCATCACCCAATAGAAAAAGGTCCTTACACTCTCTCCTGCATTACGAACACCTGGCAGTGGGGGGGGCTTGCTGACCCAACAGAACAGCATTCTCATATTCTCTCATGCATTACCAACACCCAGGGATTCGTTAAACCCAGACCGTTGATTGTCAGCCACAGAGCTTATTAGTCTGTAAGTCTTGGACAGAGCCCAAGAATATGCATTTCGAACAAGCTCCCAGGTGATGCTGCTGCTGCTGCTGGCTGAGGCCATGCTTTGAGAGCCACTATCACAGAGGCTCACTGTCAAAACAAGGCTCAGTTTCTTACACTGAATAGGAACTCTATTTCATCTGACCGAACTATCCCTTCCAAGCTATTCAACATACTGAAATTGTTGAAATGCCTACAGCTCCTACTTGACGCAGGGCTTCTCCAACTGGGCTACCTACTGGATTCACCTAGATAGTTATTAATCCCCTCAATGGCCAGGCTGCACTCTAGACTGATGAAATTGAAATAAGATGGGGCTGAGGAATGGGCAGAATTCAATGATTTTTAAAGTTCTCCAGGTGATGCAAAGTGCAGCTAAGTTGGAGAACTGCTTCTGTAAGCAGACATGAGAGGTGACAAAATGATGCCAGCTGGCTAAAGCACATGACTCAACAGGGCTCTGTGCCTGGCCCAACCCAGGTCTGCCTTCCTCAGTGCTGGCCCCAGGCTCTTGCCCAGTGATACATATCAGGTGTTCAACAAATGCTTACTGAATGAACGTGTACTAGTCAGCCAACAAGTTTGTAGAGGGCCAGCACCTCCTTTTAAGAGTCCTAAAATGAACACCCGGAAACAAATTACATCAGGATTAATTAACCTTCACGAGAGAGCAACTCTATCAGAAAAAGAACTCCTTTGAGAAAGTTCTACTACATAGAACAGAATATAATGACCAACTCAGGGATGAAAACTAAAAAACAAACTTTGGTCCAAAACAGGGGTGAGAAAACCATAACCCATAGGCCAAATCTAGCCTGCCACCTGGTCTTTAAAAATAAAACCTCATTGGGAACCAGCAGCTAGCGTAATGGCTATGTCGCTGGACTCCCACGTAGTCGACCGCGGTTCGCATCCCGGACCCGGTGGCTTAAAACTCACACCGGGTACATGTGCATGCGTGCCCAAGATCCCAAGAGGAGAATGGAGGAGAAGGAAGGAGAAGGGATTACAGCATGACCATCCCCTCTGGGGGGTGATTTCTCACTTTCTGTCTCTATGTCTCTCTGTCTGTCTGGCAAGCGCACATGCCCTATAGCAAAAACCTCTCAAAAAAAAATAAATAAAGTAAATAAGACCTCACTGGAACACAGCATGGCCACCTGTGTCCGTACTGCTGTGGTTGCTTTCACACTACACGCAGAGTTGAGTATTTTCTGCCAATATGGTACAGTCTGCAAAGCCAAAATGTTTACTTCCTGGCACTTTTCAGAAAAAGTTTTCCAACCCTGTCCTCAAAAAATAGGAAGACATATGTAAATAAATATATAGTATATGACTAGGTGGCAGAATTATGGTGGCTAATTTTTTCTTTTATCAGCTAACTTTTCTTTAAAGAATGCACTTTTTTAAATGAGACTTAAGAAAAAATAATTAGCCCAGGTGTCAGCGGCAGCAAGTGCACTGCCACCTGGCTCCCCGCAAAAGGTGTACCTTGTTTCCAATGGCCTTTTTGGGTGGGAAATTGTAGGCTCTCACTTGAGGGTACTTGTTTTGTAATTTGTGGTGCAAACTCCTGAACTCTGTGTACCGCCGATAGACATTCCACTCATCGTCCTTTATCCGGATGTAGACCTGTCAAGAAAAGGAAAGAGAAAGAAAACGTAAACTTCTCCTAAAACTCACATTCCAAAGTAGTAGGATTTTGGAAATGCTCCACTCGTGAAGGCCAGCACCACCAGAACATAGACCTCGGGATGCCCACAGTTCCTGACACTGAATAGGAACTCAGTGGTATTGGCTGAACAAATGGGTAAGTGAAAGAATGAGGCAAACGCCGGGTTACAGAAACATCAAGAGCCTAATTAATAGCAAAGGTGCATTTTCATCACATGGGTACTAAAACAAAACTGGTTGCTGGTGAAAAGCCATTCAGCCTCTCCAGACACTTGTTTCCTCATCTATAAAATGGAGCAATACAGCGCCTCCATGCCATGACGGGATGGAAAGCATGGGTTCAGGTATGTCTTTCATATACCTGTGCCTGGGAACAAGCGGACCACCACTGCATGACGTGAAATTGGATTTGGGAAAGGAGGAGGGGACCAGAGTTGAGATCTGCCCAAATGGATGGAAGGTTACATCCAGATGGGATAAGCACAATTGAGGCATAAACATTCTTTTTTATTTTAATCAAATTATGACTCGCAAGCGAATGCTCTAGGGCTACAAACATGCAAGCTGTTTCACCGACTCTTTACAGGGCCTGACACCTTCTAGGGACACATCGAAACTATATCACAAGGAAAAACAGAGAAGTGGAGAGAGATCAATGCACTTTAAGAAATTACACAAGAATAGCCCAGAGGGTAAAGTTCCCACTGATAAATGGCATTAGTAATTTACATCAGTGAATGTCAATACTCACCTTAAAAATCTCTTTAATCATAAAAATAGGCATCGCTAACATGAGTGATAAATTCTGCCTCTACATGAAAACCACCCATCATTCCCAAATGCAGACTTACATATTTGAACTTTGGTAAGGCAGTAACAGGTCTTCCACAAGATTTTTGTGAACAAGAGAAAGGAAGGCTTTCACCAAAAAAATTCAATTAATGCATACAAGTTTCCTGTGGAATTAGATGGAGAAAGAGAAGGTCTATCAAGTTTCTGGAAGCCCCAAGCTAAGAAGAGCAGTAAATACACTGGACAAAGACACAGTGATCTCAACAGCCTTGAGGAATGAGTCAAATCCAAAATGATTACAGTTTAAAAGATCAATGTGTAGTTCTACAATAAAATCCCCAAATGTGAACACCATAAGAATAAGGTGAGGAAGATCTGGCATAGTAGTAGCCTATGGGACAAAGACTTAAACCTCTAAATGAATGACACAGGAGGAGCACATACATACATACATACATACATACATGCATACATACATACATACATAGCCTGCCCATGTAATTGCAGACCTCATTGAAAGGTATATGACAGATTCCAGAATAAAGGAGTTGAAAGCCAAGCTCTAAACTGCCCCAGCCAGCTTACTTGCATTTGGTTGCCACCCTGTTAAAAGATGAACGGAACATGCCCGGAAAGGCCCAAATCACTTGCTATTCAACGTGTGGTCCATGGACCAGCAACAGCAGCATCATGTGGGAAGATGTTAGAAATGCAGAACCTCAGGCTCCACTCCAGATGTACTGATTCGAAATCTGCATTTCATCAAGACTCTAAAGTTTGAGAAGCACAGGTCTTAGCAGATGATTTACAACCAAATTAACAGAAGGAAGATGGAAAATACTGGAGAGTGATGAACTTGAAAAAAAGATCAAGGTGGTAAAGATCTCCGAATTCCTGGAAAGACTGTCATGGGAAGATGAAAGACCACCAGTGATTTCCAGGAAGCAGGCTTACAGCAGGTAGGAACCAAAGGAAGCCCGAAGAGGAAAAGATATTTCTTAAAAGATATTTCTTAAAGTTTCTCAGTGCTGGGTGTTCAAGCAGTGGCAGATGATGACCAATAGAACTGATAACTCAAATGTGCAGGTATTTGGCTTATAAGAGTAAAGTTACATTGGATACAAAAAGACCTTGGAAAGGGTTGGCTGGTTTTGGAGAACTAGAACTTCAGGCCCTCATAATCTCCTTAGACTATGGGAAACATGATGAATCAAATAGCAAATAAACACAGCAGAGCTCAGGGGACTTTAATGCAGCATGTCTGGGGTATTCTTTGAGTCCTCTCGAATGACTGCAAGTGCTAGTTGCCTACCGAGTACCCATTTTTCACTGGGATGGCAAAATGCTTTTTTAAAAAAAATTTAAATTATGTTTTCCTGTCTCTGTTGCAGATAAAAATGGCAGATGAAAAACGAGAAATGATCACTGGGGACGGTGCCACAGTGGTACAACATGATGCTCTGTGAGGCTGACTCACATGGAAAGCTTCTAGATTTACATCCAGAGACTTCCTTGAGAATGCTAGGCAAGTGTATGCTTGTGTGGAGTGGGACTGGGGGCAGATTGTGACATCAGGACCTTATTAGTCTCTCTATCTCTGTCTCACTCTCTAAACACAACTAAAAAAAATCAGTGGGAGCTTTAAAGGCTTCTCAGAAAGCTCTTTAGAAAGATCCATCTTAGTTATTAACAAGTTCCTCTTTGTTCTCCCTGCCTTTCTCTTTTCAAACACATATGTGATGACTGGTGCTCCAACCGCCATATTGTAAGCATGAAAGTATCTTAAGAATGGAACAGGGACCAGCAGGTAGTGATTAAGGCACTGAATTCCCACATGGCCAACCACAGTTCAAGTCCCAGATTTAGTGACTTGCTTTCTCACTTTCTCCCTCTCTCCCTCCCTCCCTCTCTAGTGAGCACATGTGCCCTGTATCAAATTTTTAAAAAATAAATAAATAATGATAAATAAAATTAAATAAATGATTTTTAAATGAGATTTTGCTACAGGGCACCTGTGTTCATCAGAAAGACAGAAAGAAAGTGAGAAATCAACCCCCAGTGGGGATGGCCACACCATAATCCCTTCTCCTCCAGTCTCCTCTCAGGATTTTGGGCATGCATGCATATATGCTTGGCATGAGTTTTAAGCTGCCAGGTCTGAGACTTGAACCATGAACAGCCATGTGGGGGTCCAACAACGTAACCTTTATACCATCTGCTGACCCCAATAAATAATTAAAAAAAAAATAGGACAGAAAGACAGATGGGCCTGGAATCTCTGATGATGTTACAGAGCCACCACACCAATTACTAGATTAATTATTCAAGAACCTTGTTAACAAATGTAATATTCATCTTTAATTTGCTGAAGCTAATATCTTAGAGGTCTTTGTACTAGAGCCAAATGCACTTCTGATCTGAAACATCTTGAACATTTCACACCCATTTGTAGTATATTCTTATATACATCCAACACACACACCTCCACTGCCCTAAACTGCCAAATGCAGTCACTGATCACCACACACAATGGTAATTACCTAGGCCAGGGGAGGCCACTATGCCCATAGACCAAATATGGCCACCACCATTCACCTACCCATTGTCTAGAGCACAATAGCAGAGCTGATAGCTGAAACAGATCACGCAGCCTGCAAGGCTGGAAGTTATTTACTTTCTGTCCCTTTACAAAAAGTTTGATAACTCTTGATCTAGATATTCAGGAACACCTCAATTACTACTATTTTCTCTCTCTAATATGTCCAAGATCCAGTGTAGAGAAGGGCAATCCTCTTGAATCTTACCAACCACTGAGCAGGCTGCAACCTGAGGCCCAGGAATCCATAGCATGCCAAAGCTTCTCTGGAGATTCCGATGAGCGGGCAACCTAGGGGAACCCCTGGCGTAAAGCACAGACTCAGCCTTCCTAGCTATTTCCTCAGCCGTTAAAATGAGGCTCATATATCACACCCCACCCAAGGTGGCACGGAGAACGTTCAGGTACATGAGCATTGCAGCTCTGCTGGGGACCATGTGGATGAGGGGCAATCAATTTGGGAAAGGAATAAAGGGCCTAAGGATAAGGTCTGGACTCTCGCTCATCATCCCCACTGAAGAGAAGGTCACATCCAGATGGGACAAGCACACGTCAAGTACACTACTTCTTTATTTTGACCAAGTGTGGCTATCAAGAGACCACTCTGGGTATACAGAACATGGCCTGTCTCTTCAGCCTTTTACCGGCCCTAGCACCTTCCAGAGACGTACAGCAATTCCATCACAAGGGGAGCCAGAGAAGTGGAGAGACATCGATATGTTTTTTAAAAAGTACACTAGTTAAGAACAGCCCAGAGGTAGTCTCCAATGATAAATGGCTGTTGTAATATGCAATCAGTGAATGTCAATGCACATTTAAAAACCTCTTTAACATAACAGTAAAAACAGGCAATGCTAACATGAGCGATAAATTCTGACTCCACTTTTTTATAACATGCAGCCAAGAGCCAACTATTTTCCCTCTGTGGAAACATGGACCTCTTGGACTGAACTCCAGACCTTGACTTGATTTCTCCAAAGTACCTAAAACTCATTCTGTCTAAATCCGAACCCCTGCAAACCTGCTCTTCCTTCTCCTGAGATCTTGCTCTCCCCAGTGAATGAACCACTGAGTTGCCAAGGTCAGAAATCCGGACATCGGCTTTGAGCAGTCCTGTTCTCTAGTCCCCACATCCGACTACAGAATGAGAACCTGCCAGTTCTACTCACAATACCAGTCCAGGGTCACCTCACTTCTGCCTTGACCACTGCGACAGACCTCAAGCTGTTCTTCTGGCCTCCCACTCTGCCCCCTTCAGCTCACAGTCCTTCAACAACTGCCCACGAAAACACACTCATGCCAATGACTGGGCTCTGGGGGAGGCACGCAGGCAGCCTCTGTGGGTGTAGAAGGCTCCAGCATCATCACAGTCATCCTATTTCAGATCTGCCCCTTGCTTTGAAAAACCTGGATGGTGCCAATTTGCCTGCATATCTTTAAAATGTTCTACAAAATTTTCATATCAGAGCAAATATCCTGTCCTGCAAATAGCATCCCTTGGCCTTCTCACTTCCCACTTTCTTCCCCCATAGTGATGGAGGAAGCAGATATTCAAGAACTCAGAACCTCC